ACCTCCAGGTGGCCTCAATGACCCTCTAAAAGGATGCAAATGACCAGCCGTCTGCAAGGAGTATAAATCCTTCCATTCCCCACCACCCAATCAGAGCTGAAGAAGCTTCTTTGATGTGAAGTGAAATGTCTTCAAAGAAAAAACAAGGAAGTCCAGTTGCTTCCTAAAAAAAAGCACCTTTGGGATTCTTAACAAATAGTGAAGTTTTGTGCACATTGTTGACTACAAAGGAGCATAGGGGGTCCTATCTAGCATCCGTCTTTCCTTCAAACACAATCCTAAAGAAATAAATCCTGACGGTTTATCCAAATGTGTCCTCCCCACCAAAAAAAAACCCAACCCAACCCAAAACCCCACTTAATCATTCATGTATTAACTGTAGCTACAATTGTATTTGCACGACATTGGGAAAGTGTAGAGATTCCTATTGATGAGAAGATAATAAGGAATGTATTAGAATGTGCAGAAATGGACAGATTAACATTAGCAATTAAGGAGAAAGAGGAAACTGAATATTACATGATTTGGGAAGTATTTTACCAATGGTTGGAGAGAGAGAAAGGAGTTTGGAAATGAAGAAACTTAAAAAATAAAGTAGACAATACACTTAGAGATATAAATAAGAGGGAAACTGTTAGTATGTTTATGAGAAGAATAATGCTGTTTAATGTTAATATGATATTATTAATAGAAGATAGTAAGAAGAAAAATTGAGAGTTTTATAATGCTTAAATGCTCAATATATTATAATACTAAACTTAGGGAAATAATGTTAATATGAAAGTGAAAAATGTGGCAAAAGAGGAATGATGTTGCACAGAGATGTTTGTAGCCAGGCGACACAGTGCATAAGGTGGAACGTTTATTTTTGTAGTTGAAAAATAATAAAACTCTTTATAAAAAATAATAGCAGATTTTTCCTTCATTTTGGGCCAACCTGGAGAAACAGTGTCTGTTTCTCTTGCCTGCAAAGCTGGAGGAGATATTTGCAAAGTTGTCTGGTTTTTCTCCCACGGTGAGCTTAGCGGACTTGACAAGTGTGGTCATGTCCGACTTCAAATGTTTATTTATTTGTATGCAATATTTTTCCTTCCTACTTTGAATCATTCAAATTCCGAACGGCCACGATATGAAATAATGACTTTGTTTTTGTTTTTTAGGAAATGGCAAACTCCGTTTATTTGGTGATGGAGGTGAGCGATTCTGAGTTAGGTTTTTAATTTTGCCCCCTTAAAAAAAAAAAGAATTCATGCATGGTTTTATTTATTTATTAACGTTTTATGCTGCTTTCATCTCGAACGGCAGAGTGCTGGTTGTTATTTTATTTATAGACCTGAATGTTGAATAATTTGGCTTAGCTGATGAATTCTTGTTTCTGTTTATTCTCCCCTCTTTAGTACTGCAACGGTGGGGATTTGGCTGACTATTTGCACAGTACGTATTCTAAGAGTTATTATTATTATTCCATAATATTAGCATCAACAGAAAATATCAGGCACAAAATCACTTGTCAAATGGGATCCATCCGTGCAGTTTGATAGGGGTGTCCAGATGGTATTCCGCTAGCAAGTTTGTCCTGGACTTCTAATTTTGTTGTTGTTGTTGTTGTTGTTGCTTTTTCCTTTTTAATCACAGGTATAATTAATGCAAATACGGCCTATTTTCATCCAGACTAAACAATAAAAACATAGGTGGTCTCCAAGTCTAGCGAAATTTGTACTGACAGCTTTAGTTTATAGAAATCATTTGGGACCTTTAGTAAATTGTTAAATTTTGTAGGGTTCCCCCCCTCCCTTTATATATGTACATATTATTTATCCTCTATCTCAGAGGTTGGCAACCTGAAGCTCTGGAGCTGCATGTGGCTCTTTCATCCCTCTGCTGTGGCTCCCTGTTGCCAGTCGGTTCCATAATAGATAGGGCTTTCAGTTAGGACAGGTAGAGGAAAAAGGACGCCGCGCTAGGAGGAGACTCTATGGTGGGGGAACCGGACTTCCGGTTGGCTTCAGAATTGAATTGGCTTCTGGTTAGGACCTTTGTGGCTCATTGAGTGTTTAAGGTTGCCAACCTCTGAGATAGAGGATAAATAATATGTACATATATAAAGGGAGGGGGGGAACCCTACAAAATTTAACAATTTACTAAAGGTCCCAAATGATNTGCGGGTGGAGCTGGTGATGTGAGAGAGGCAGACGGCGCGGGGGGGGGTGAGGGGAGAACTATCCCTGCCGGATTTGGGGGTTGGGGGGGGGGAGGAAGCAGATGTGAATACAACAAAGAGCCTCGTGATGCCGTCAGAGGCTCTGGCTGGGAGAGGATCTGATAGCGGGCAAGGCAGGTGTGGCAGAGAGGAGACTGCGGGTGCAGCCGTGTGAGTCCTGGCCAGGTAAACGGAGGTAATACATCCACTTCCCCTGCTGGGATGCGGAGCTGTGGGTGTTGCTGGGCGTGCCTGTGTGGAAAGAACAAGGAAGAGGTGTGCAAGTTGCAGGATGAGGGGGAGGGGGATCTTAGTATTTCAGTGACTACAGGTAGGGCATTGTTTTCCATGAAAGCAGGTGTAAGAAAAAGGTGTAAATCTCCTGCCAGGTTTATAATTTGGGATTAGTGATACTTGAGTCCCTGTTTGCTTTCTTCCTTTCTAGTTCTTCTGCCACCTGCTCTGCCGCCACCTAGCATAATTTTCCTTGAACTAATCCCCTCTGCCCCTTCTTTGAGGCGATGCTTGCTACTGCCTCAGTCTTCTTTCTAAACAAAGAGCTCATGGTGCTCCAACCTAGGTTTTGGAAATGCGAAGGTTAAAGGTGCTTCATCTTTCTCCTCTGTTCCCATCGCCCTCCCACTGATTTGCCAAAGGTTTTATGAAAGAAAGGCAGTTTAAGCTGGCTGGCAATTTTTTGTGGTCACACCTTGGCTTGACTGTTGGCGTGGGCTTTTTCCTCCACCCTTTTTCTCTTAAGGTGTGGATAGCTGCTGGCAGTGGCTTCATAATGGTGAAAGATCTGGGATGAACCCTGGCCTAGCTAGCTGAGTTGGCATTTGGTGGCTGCCAACCAGGCAATCTCCCTTGAGCATGTTCTTTTGATCTAAGATCCTTCCTGTCCTTCTGTTATTAAGCTTTTCTAGTAATTTTTCATTTACGCCATTCCACAGCTGCTCTTTCTTGCATTTTGCTTTATTCTTATTAAACTCTTTTCCCCCTTTCCCCCTCTACCAGATGGATTATTGAGGCCTGCCTGCCTGTGTTTTCCTTTAAATCTTCCCCTCCTTTTCAGAAAATGTCCACAATAAGCACTCGTGGCTGCTGAATTTGCCACCTCTGAGGTTTAGCGAGATGATTAAAGATACAGCCACTGAAGGGGGGCAGGGAGGAGATAAAATAAGCATTGCAAGCTTTGATTACTGCCCTGACTTGTGTCTGCCTGCTTAGCATGTTTATTCCCTTCCTTCTAGTAACAGATGCAAACATGTCTTTGCAGTTAGTTGCATATATTAGAAGAGCAAGCAGATTGAGAAAGAGAGATGCTGTGTTAAAAAGAATAAAAACCAAACCTCCTTTTATTATTTCAAGTTGGATTTTTAGGAAGCATCTTGTGAAGCATTTACAGTAACACAGCTGGTATTTTCATAATCCTTTTAGGGATACATCAGGTTCTTATCTTTATAGTGGCAGGACTAAGGGAGAATGAACAGACAGATTTCCACCTTGATGCTTTTCAGTTGTGTTGAATAACAGCCTCTAATAACTCCAGCCTCTTGGGTTGTGTTGTGTAAGTACCAATAAGACCATTGAATATATAAGCTGGGGAAGATGACAGTTCTAATTCACACAATTGGAGGGTACTAAGTTCAATTTTTTAATTTCTATATGGAATGTTGGAATACTATATGGCATTCTATATGGAACACTGGAATTTCCTGCCTAGGCAGGGGGTTGGACTAAAAGACTTTCAAGGTCCCTTCCAACTCTGCTATTGTATTGTATTACTACCTGGTTAATATTACAACAATGACGGCCACATGAGTTGCTACTCCTCTATTTTGTGTGGTAGAGTACACCTATTTCATGAGTGCCCAGTTTTGTACATTTTTATTTGAGAAGCTGCTGTGAAATTGGCAACATAGAATGCTTGTGTTGTGGGATGTGAGTTACAGTTCTAGTCTTTCTCCTTATGAATTTGCAACCACTTTGAATCTGACTTGTTCTAGAGCTGAATCTCATAGAATACAATCAAAATATATTTAAATGGGAGTAAGTTCATTGAGGCTTAGTCTTGCTTCAATGTTTCATTGGTGACCTTACAATCTCTTTCTTCATACTATGCTTACATTCTAAAATTGTATGTAGTTCTTGCGTTCTGTGCTTAACTTCTTCAAATGTGTCTTTTCATAGGTCACCAATGAAACAGGTACTAAAGTTATAGGTTAATGGGCTTGCTTTTAGCAATTTGCTGCATTAAGTTTGTGCCACAGAGAATAAATTTATTTCCATGGAAACACTATAAATTCTTTTAGTGTTCCAGCCCCCAATGCTTTTTAAATCAACTTATGGAATGATCACAGTTATTTGAAAAAATGTTAACAAAGGTGAATAAAAACACAGTCAAAGGATAGCCAAAATGGTCCTGAAACTGAATAGAAAAGTTACAATATATCATTTTCTTTTAATTTAGAAAAAAGTCAATTGAGATGAGGTAGGCTAAAGACAATATATTTAAAGTCTTTCAAAATATTCATGGTTTTGAAAACTCACCCAGTCTCATTCATATTCCTTTCCTGTAATGCAAGGTCATTTGTCTAGCAAAATAGAGGAACCTTTGGGAACTGTCCCAACATTTAAAGAAAATTATCAATGTGAATGGCTTTAAAAGGGGATCAGGCAAATAATGGAGGAAAAAGCACAACTGCATACTGGTTTAATAGATATAGATTACCTCTATTATTAGTTGCTAAGAAATGTGTGGAGAGGAGTTATTGTCCTCATGACTTGAGAATGCTTGGCAGATATCTGTTTTGCAATCCCTGGGAATAAAATTCTAGACCAGTGTTTCTCAACCTTGGCAACTTGAAGATGTCCGGACTTCAGCTCCCAGAATTCCCCAGCCAGCATCTGCT